AACTCCTTCAGTAACAATGAAAGCTACTACATATAGAGGTAATTACTGAATGTAAATACACTGAATAGCTTTTGTAGAAAAATAGCCAGTGTCAGAAGTATCAAAATGTGGTTTAATATAATCAAAGTCTTATAACAATTGTGTTTTTATTTGTTCTGATAAACCACTTGGTATCTTTTGCTTGAAGTTAAGTGCTGTGTAATTGTCTACTATTAAGAACCAACCAGGAAGATGGGCAGCTGGAACTTGTCATTGAGCACCACGGCGTGAACGCTGCAGGGTCCGCAGAGCCTGGCTGTGATTTCGTTCAGGAAGTTAGCGTGGAAGATGAAGAGGAGGATGCCCGAGCCTAGAATGGGAGGGAGGAATAGAGGATAAGTGTCATCTGCACATCAAGTGACCCTTGGTGGGATGGATCAATGACAACAACGCAACAGAGCTGATGACCTCCAGATTCAACGTTTGTGTTTTACCCTCTGGTTGTGGCTGTGACTTGAAGCAAAACTCCAGGGAGAAATCGGGTCCCTCACAAAGCCTGTGGCAGGCAAGAGGGAAGACGGCCTCTAGTAGCACCAGACGAGACTCAAAGTATGCTCGGATGGTGTCCTCTGCCACACTGGACAGCCTGAGAGACGGAAAGATGGACAGAGAAATGCCTTTATAAGTAAATTAAAATTGCCCTTTAACCACATAGTACGTTGGTAATATAGTGCTGTGTGGAATTTACTGACATCTAGTGATGGGAATTTAACGATACCGATTCCATTATCGATATTGCTTATCGATCCGATACCTTATCGATTCTCTTATCGATTCTCATTGGGTAATTGTTTGTATTAACTCGCTTTAATATCTGATCAGAGACACAGCACAGAGTATACACAAATTATGTGTAGCAACCTCAGAACAAACCTAGAAGTAGGTGAGTTACTTCTCAAAGTAAAGTCTAGGGACCCATAACCTAGGACAGTGTTTCTCAACCAGTATGCCATTGCACGCTAGTGTGTGCCTTGAAAGATTATCAAGAGTGCCTTAGGATTAGGAAATACTTAGTTTTCACATTAATTGGTCCAGACAAAAAAATAAATGTTTGGCTTTTTAAGCCCAACTGCCATTATGTGCCATAAAAACTAAAAACACAGACTGAAAACAGTCAAGGAAGAGTTGTGCCTTTTGGAATATTAACAGTGCTCATTTGGATTCAACTTGAAACAAAATTCAACTGACATAAAAAATTACAAAGAAACACAATACACAATGAAATGGCGCTCACATTAACTAGACAGGGCCTGTCCTGCCTGGAGAGTTTAAAGTTACCTTCGGCATTAATAACAGATGGCATCCCATTAGCTCCGCTGCTGCTTGACTCACTTGTGTCGCTAAGTAGTAGTGTATCAAACACGCAACAGTCCTGCAAATGAATTGCATGCTGTGTGGCCAAATGTTTCTGCATATTGGAGGTAGTTCCCCCCTTTGACCAAATGGAAACTTTACAAGTGTTGCAAGTGACGTATTGTTGTTTTTTTCACGTGAAATATAACCAAACTTTAGAGCGCTTCTAAAACAACGCAGCGTGTGTGACGTCATGGCGCATTTGCAACGAGCCGAACCGATAAGTGGAGTCGTTAAGCAGGCATGCTAACGGTTCCAAGGAATCGATTCAGTGGATTATTGTATTGAACTTTTTGTCTTTCCTCCAACACCCATTGTCTCTCAAATTCACCTGCATTCTTTCCTCATCATCAGTGGTGAGTGAGGCTGAAAGCTATGGTTAGTACTCACACGCTGATGTGGTCCTTGATGAGGTCGCACACCATCAGATTGTTGCTGAGCTTGGCAAAGTACATGGCCGTGTTCTTGTGTTTGGACAGGATGTTGCAGTCAGCTCCATAATCCAGCAGGAGGCGCACTACGTCAGTGTTCCCTCTTTTGCAGGCCTGAAGTGTAGGACAGGAAACATTAACAAAAACAACCTGTGTCCCACGTACAGACCCTCCCAGTGTAAATCATTCTGGAGAAGAAACTTTTTCATCACTGCCTGTCTCTTTTTTATCCTCTTAACACAAACACTTTTCAGATGATGCAGTGACTTCGGATAAATCACGGTAAAAGCATGTCATCCAACCGGATTTTGAGACTTTTAATTCAATCTTAGTTTAACATTTTTCTCACACCACTTAGCTTAGGTGTGAAATGGAAAACAGAAGTTTCTACTGGGGCTGAGTAACATGACTGAAATCAATGTCACAACAAATATATATACCGATCAGCCATAACAATATGAGCACTGGTAGGTAAAGTGAATAACACTGATTATCTGGTTATCATGGCACCTGTCAACTGAACATTTTGCTGTTGAAGTTGATGTGTTAGAAGCAGGAAAAATGGGCAGCGTGAAGATTTGAGCGGCTTTCACAAGGGCCACATTGTGATGAACTGGCGACAGGGTAATGGGCGGCCAAGGCTCATTGATGCACGTGGGGAGTAAAGGCTGGCCCGTGTGGTCCGATCCAACAGACGAGCTAACACTGCTTACTCACTTTTCTGCAACTCCAACATATAGCCTGAATATGCTGTGATATCATTTCATGGTTCAGCAGAGCTGTGTACAGAACTGCCACTGGAGGACCAGGTCTTGTGTGACAAGAGGGTAACCCTTCACAACAACTGTGTCTGGTGTGAATGGTCAAACTAGGCTGGTTTCAAACAGAGGCTTGTGTGTGAAGTGCAACGTTACCTTCATCAGTGCCGTCTCCCCGCTTATTGTCTGGGCGTTGACATAGGAGCCTGCCTCCAGCAGGATAGCAACGGTTGTCAAGAAATTCTGACAGAGGATGGCAAGAAAAAATGTGTGAGAAAATACAAAAAAGTGGTAATTTTCTGCATTTGAATCTGAAACCGGGATATGCTGGTGCTAACTGATGCTTCAGAAATTGGATAAAATTAGTTTTAATTTTGAAAATAAAAATAAAAATCTGAACTTGTTTACAGAACAAGGGCTCAGTGATCAAGCAATATTTCAGTCCTGATTTTGTTATTTTACATTAGACCTTTCTTTTCTGTCATCACTTTGTCAACACAGTCAGACACAATAAAAAGTTAATTATTCTTATTTGCTTAGTCATATAGATGTAAATCACTGTAGCTACACCACAGGTACACATACATTCTGTTAAATACTATACTATTTCACATCTACACATTTAAAAACTCTTACATAATTCAGTTTAACAAGTTTAATAACAATTTTGCACATGAAAAAATACTTAATTTTAAAGAGACAATTACTAAAGTAGTAAATCAAGTGCATTAGAGGAACAGATTGTAAACATAATAATTTAAACAAAAGGTCCATCTGATGGTGGTGACAATGGCCAAATTACAACAAACAATTGCAGCATTATCATCACTCAAGTCAATGCTTCCTTGCTTAACAACTGTATGTAACAGTTTGGTACAATAAATAATTACCGTAATCAACAATCAACATAATTTATTTTATCCTTCTGTAAATATTCAACAACAGCAATGAAATACAAACTATTGTACAAATGCAGTGCTTAAGCATAAACATCAGAAAACTGGGCCCTATCTCTTACGCCGTATTGACTCTTGCTGTCTATGTTTCCACATCACACCATGAACCGCCATGTTTCTACAGTAGCCGAGAACGGACAAACCAAACACTGGCTGTAGATGGTGACTTTCACATTTTAGTAAACTGTGGCTTATTTAAACAGTGAGCAGACATGGGGCAACATTAGCAATATTCAAATATGAACCCAATATATACTCCCCTTTTGGCTGTTATAGTAAAATACAAGACCCCCCCTCCCCTCATCTTGGGTGACAGACCCTGTTACCTTTTCAGCAGCATGCATCAGGGCTGTAGTGCCGTTCTTCTGTCGTCCATTCACCCTCACCCCCTTCTTTATCAGCAACCTGAGGATGTCGTCCTGCCCCCCCGCTGCTGCCAGCATGCTCAGGGACATACCACTGACATCCTGTGGACACACAGAGAGATACAATGCCACAATGTCACAGATGAATGGGGTGAAATGATTCTCACGAACCTGCTGTGGATGTTGATTCACAGTTCACACATTATTGTAGCTGAAACAAGCTATTGTGTTAAGCCATTAGCGATAGTGTTAGTCCTACACTTGTATGCTGTACACTTCACTGAGGCAGAGGAAACTGGCATCTTGTCACAGTAATGTGGATTACAGGATTTCCCAGATTGGGGAGTCCATCAATACAAGTCATAATGCCGTAAAGTAATTACTTTGACCTCATAATTTACAACTATATTTGAGGAAATATTTTTATATTTTTCCTCAGCACAAATTGATGTGTGATACAATGTGTTGATGTCACTGCATACATGGTGATGTAGTGAAATAGTCACAATCATTCTTAATTTGGATTTGCAGGGTTGCAGCCAATCTCAGCTGGCATCAGGCCAGATGCCTGGTACAGCTTGGACAGTTCTTCAATCTATCACAGAGCTGACACACACACTGTTTATTCAGATTGCAGTGTTAATATTCCTGAAGTGACCCACATGATGAGTGTAGATCTAGAGTGACATAAAAAGTCACATAAACTCTGACATGCACATTTTGGAAAAAAAAAGAAAAAGTGTTATGTGCTTGTTCACAGTCATGAAAAACAATTGGATCTGAGTCACATATGAGCAAATAAAAATTAAATCAGATTCCAACCAACCTACAAATTGAGCCTCAGTTGTACGTTGAGTTATTATTATTATTATTATTATTATTAGTAGTAGAATTTTGATCAGGTACAGAATCACTGAGCCACTAGAATGTCTGCAGACTTGAATCTATAAATACATACTACAGTTGCAAATTCAAAGTTACACATAAACATGGTCTCCTTTGGAACCTCGTATTGCAAAAAGATTAAAAAAAAAAACGCCAAAACTTTAACATACAAAATGCATAGAAAAACAAATACACATCTTTTTCATAACAACATTTTTTTTAAATTTTAAGCCAAGAAGCTTTTTATTGTACAAGCAGAAGTCATAAGTTCCTTACAATACTTGATAAGAAGCATTAACTGAAGGCATTATAACTGCAACAGGATGAAGAGTAACACGCACTGTGTGCTTATACAATGGCAATGATAGAAAGCTACCTACTATACACAAAAAATGTTTTTGCTTTGCAACACCCAACAGCAATGGTAGTGAACTGAACGATCATATATCATTTGTAGACCTTGAACACATTCATTCTGCAAACACCACTGTAACTGGGATGTAAACTGCTGATTTATATACAACAACACAGATATACTCCTTTCACAAGGAAGTAACAACATGGGAAAAACCTGTCTGCAGTTGGTGTAAATGAGTTAACATAGGTTATGTGACCAGGTCTGCAACTGTGCTCACTGTCAGGACTTTATGTACATCTGATCGCTTTGGTATGAAAGGGTGAACACTCATTATTCTACACAGGTTCACTACAGCTGCTACTGAGGATAACACAAAAGCTTTTGTCTGTGACAAATCGCAGCAGTGATATCTGGAACTCTTAACCATAACTTCTGCTCCTTTTAATTATAAAGAAAATTGTGACAAGACATATACAGAGTCGACTGACCCTACCAAACAAAAGATGCTTTGCACCTATTGTTTAATATCCAGTGTAAATTAAACACTGTAGTGAATGAATCTAAAAACCTCAAGTATAAAATGCTTAAAATTAAATGTGTAATTATTTTTCCAATTACCAAACTGCATTTTAAGTTAAAAGGTGAATAATACTAGGAACAATCTGAATTCAGTTAACAAACCTATCCACAAGGAAGGAAAACTAACCTTTTTATCCACCGTCTAATGCCACAATCCAGTTTTCACTGAGCTATGCCCATCCCCTTATATTTAAAAATGTAAAGGGATGTCCCTTTTGACCTTGTTTTAAATACTTGTCATGTATTAACTTTTGCAATAACACTTCACTTCTTCTTCTTAAAAAAAAAAACATAATCCTGAACTGTGGGTTTAACAGCTCACAAAATCTAGCATGATTGCACTTACTATGGTATGTGCAATCAACATTAATGGGAAAACAATGTAGTAAAAAGGAAATAATCAACATAATAAGGCAATCTGATTTTGGCAACTTGATATTAATGTCATAATAAAATCTTAAAATGAAGTAATACAAAGAGACCAATGCAGTGTATTTTACCTCAAATTAGAGTACATCAAATACAATAAAGTACTAAAATGTTCTACACAGTGGCTGTATAGTAATACAAAAATATGTTTCGGCAGCTTCTTATGAAAAACAAACACATAAATGAAGATAATGAACATTTATCAACAGGGTCCTAAAAAAAGTGTTTTTAATATTTAAGTTAGAGGTATACACATTGAGCTCCTAATTCTCTAACATCAGCAAGGAAGGTATGCCATTACTGCTGCAGGCTATAAGGGGCCATCTACAATACAGGCTACTGGCTAAAGCAAGAATACATTTTGGGCCAGGCATTTGGGAATTATGTAAAGCAAGTCAATGCACATCTATGTTGGAGGGACTGGCTGCAAAGATTTACTTGTAGGTTTTACCATTTCTTGTATGAATATCAAAATTCATAAAAATGCTACTGAAAACAGTACAGGCAGAAAGATAGACGTTTCAGTAAGTTTTGCAGTAAATAAGAGTAGAAATCCCTCTAGAAATGTACAGTCACTGAGGCTACCTTTGCTCAGTGCAGGGTGGGAAATGTCCTGGTTATGGAGGCTGGGGAGTCCCAGACAAATCAGTGATTGCTTTCATCATTTTAAAACATTGTGTTTGAAATGGTGAAAGCGTGTTTGGGTGCCACAGTGGTAACTTGCCACTGTCAATGACTTGGTTGCAAATCCTGGGAAAATGTGGTTCACATTTATGAAATAATCACATATCTGAAGCTCGAAAATTTCTAGAGGTAACCTGTGATGATCTGACAAACTGATAGTGTTACATATTTGACTGAGTTACATATTAAACATTAATATCTGCTTTTTATGAGCAAAAGCTACAGTACAAACGTCCTTAGTTCCACCTATTTCTTGTATAATCATGCAACAGTACACCAACAGCTTGGTCCGCTGGACCTGAATCTGAATGTTTCAGGAACTTTTTAAAAAGTGTGTTAAAAAGAAAGGCAGGGCAGTCCATAATTCCTGTCAAGATCCATATGGCTAGTGAGACCAAGGTTAACTGACAATTCAATTTACAACTGCTGAATTCTTAAGCCCCATGTCATTTGAGATTAAAGCCACAATCACCACACACTTCTAAAATCTCACTGACCACTTACTGTTTTCTTGCAAGTCCATTACAAATATTTACAGGGACAGATAAACGGGACCATCCCACTCCATGTTTGGATTATGAGTCTCTGGTTCCTGCCCTCCACTTTGTTTGGAGGCCACTGGATGCCCTCTTCTTTTCAGTGACTGAATTGAGTTATGTACAAAATATTTGACTTCCCTCCATGTTCTGCTGTTCAAAGCAGGCTCCGCAGCTAAACATGCATCACAATCCTTTTTGCCTGGCACTTTCACCAGTTTACAAAAGTCTCCAAGCTGACGCCTCACGGCTGCCTGTTCCTCCTCACTCCACAACCTCTTGTTTCTCTTTTGAGGCTTAACAGCTGCAGTGACTGGTCCTCTTGCAGCAGACATGGGTGTACTTTTCTGTACCATTAGTGTTCTGTCAGGAACACTGGGTCTATGGATTGTTGGGACAACCTGTGCAGTTGTAGGGGTCCTAGGTGGGTTTGTGGGGTAAGCTGGTGCACTTGAATGGTTCAGAGGTGTGAATGAAGAAACGATAGGTCCACTTCTGTCATTTAGTGTTGAGAATGCAGAGACCATTGGTGAACTAGTATTCAGTGGTGTGAATGTAGGCAACATTGAGGTACTTGGAGCGTTAAGGGTACTAAAATTAGGAATCATTGCTGAACTCGTAGTGTCTTGTGGTGCATACACAGAAGGGGGTGGCATATTTGTGGCATTATGTGTATAAATGGGAGACATTGGCATAATTATGTTGTTCTCTGATGTATATGCAGTAGGCATTAGCGCATTTGTAGTGTTGTGTGGAGTAAATGTAGGAACTACTTGTGTATCAGTAGCATTCAATGGTGTGAAAGTAGAAATCAATGGTGGACTCGTATGGACCACATTTGTACAAGTAGAACACAAGGATGCATAACTTGAAGTCATCTCTTGGGAGAATGGTGTGGATTCTGTCAAATTGGTTGGTGGTGCCATTGTCATACAACAATTTGAACTTTCTCTCAGATCATCTGGATGCACTGTTGTCATATTACAGACATCTGCGTCTTCCAAATCTTTCTTAGTGGTCTGGACTCCAGCTTTTGGACTCTCAGTTACAATCCCTTCAGGCTTTTGCTGGTTATTTCTCCTCCGTGTTGTCTGTAGTGTGTTGTGTACATAGTTTTTGACATCTGTCCAAGATCTTCCACAAAGATCTGGTTCAGCAGCTATGCAAGCATTGCACTCCTTTTTGCCTGGAACCTTCATTGTTGTGATAAATTCACACAAGTAACGTTTCACTGCAGCCTGTTCCTTCTCGCTCCAAGGTCTTCTCTTCAAAGCAGGCTTCTGTATAGTTCCTAAGAAGATAGAGTGTAAAGAACCATGGTTATATAAGAGAAATAAAATATTCATCCAATTGAGAATGCAGTATTCAAATTGATAAAAACAGTAGCGCTTGACAGTTCATTCTTGTACTTTTCTGTCAGCTGCTGTTTCCGAGATTGTTTGAAATTGTCAAAAGCTCCAAGACAAACAAGTAAGTGGACCTTGAATGGAGACAGTTTTGTCAACTGCTGTTTCAAAGGTCAAGCATGAACTGTCAAGTCCCAAAGGGGATCAGAAATATCTACTGTTCCATGATAACTGAGAAAACTTAATCTGCTGATGAAGACTGTGTGATACAGTTGAAAGTTCCAGAACAAGCAAGTAAGTGATTTTAGAGTGGAGACTGAGGGAGACTTACAAAAATTGGCTGTTTGCCATCCAATGTTTGTAATCAAGAACACATTAATGCAAAAGGATCCAAAGGAGCAAAAAGTGCTCACCATCTCTAGCAGTGCTGGGTTGACTTGATGGCAGTGTTCGATCTATTTTGAGAAGTTGTTTGCTCACTTCCTCCAGTTCAGATGCATTTTTTGACAGCCTGTAACATTCCTGGCTGTTCCTTCCCACTAGTTTGGCCACTTGATCCAATTCAGGTTCACTGAGGCTCATGAGCTGCCAGCAGCTTGCAATTTGCTCTCTTAATGATGAGGACAGAAGTGCTTCTGGGTTTTTAACACCACATTCCATTGCAGCCCTTCGGAAACAATCCAATCCTCTGATGAAGGATGGACCTTCAGTCCTTGCAAACAAGTATGGATTTGTTTTTGACACACCTGCTTGTTCTCGATTTTCAATGAGTAGGTCGATTGACAAAACCATCCTCTCTGTTAGCAGAACCAGCATGTTCCTTCCATACTGACCTTCTAGTTCCAACCTGGTGAAATTGGCACCAAGGTCCAACTCCAATTTTGTGCTTTTCCTTATCTGATCTGCAGACGGCACAAATGTTCCTCTACTCTTTCTGCGAGTGTAAGTTTGTAAGAGCATTCTACCAATATTTCCCACCCTTCCTCTGTTAAACAGACACACATCCGCTAGAGTGGCTTCACTGAGCTTTTTCCATGTTGACAAACTAGGACTCTCTTTCAGCTCCCTCCTGGCTTCATCTTCTTCCCCTGTGATAAACGTATGGAGTTTTATCAAGTCTTCTGTCACAGTTGATTTGTCTACTTCCACTTTCTTGACTTCTTGCTTTAGAGATAATGCTAGAGCTTTGCGAGAAAAACACTCATTCCATTTTGTATCAAGAAGCTGTATGAACTTTTTTACTTCACTTTCAGTTTCACTATCCTCTGTCATGCGACTTTCACCGAAAGCTATTTCTGCAGCTCGTTTCAAAGAGTAGCCAACCTTTGAGACAAGGGAAACGGTTTTAAACTTGCTGGAACTGGGATCATAACCACTAAGTTTTTTGGCCCCTTCAACGGCTAATTCAAATCTGGATGGTAGACATATTTCATGTAAGTACTTCACGCTCTTGTCAAGCTCATTTACAGCAAGTACAAATCTACCCAGTTCCCTCATCTTTTGTGCAATATAAGCAAATTGAGACTTATCATGGTCATACTTAGCAGACAATGCATTGCCATATTTACAAATAAGTGGGTCATTTCTGATATGTCTTGAGATGTCATCTTGATGCATGATGTGGATAATTTCCTCACAGCCGCCAGTTAAGAATTCCGACATTGGAAGCAGCCGGGAGGCAGCATTGTGGCCTTTGTTTGTTTTTGTCCTATCAGAGGATTTCTGATCTCCCTTTCTGGCCTTACATGACCGTTCATGTCTCCATAAGTCAGTTTTGCGATAAAAAGCAAAGCAGTGCTGACAAGGCAAGAAGTCACGAACAGATATGCAGGGATTTTTTACCTGCTTCTTAGTAACAATTTCCCCCTCCCCACTTTTGAGAACTTGGCAATTGTGTTCATAATCTCCTTTATTGCGAATTTGATCAAGCAAAGTCTGTCTGACTTTGGAACCTTTGGGAAAGTGTATTGCATGGGCAACATCTGTTTCCTCTGCATGTTTCCTTTCCAAGTGCTTTGCGAGTTGGGTAAAAGCCATTTTGCAATATAAACAGAAGTGCTTTTTGTATGACTCCTTTTTCTCATCATCTGATGTGCTAGGTTTTATTTCAAGCACTTTTTTACAAGTCCTTAAACTGGATCGTGTTGGTTGTTTCCTTTCCACAGTTTTCCTGCGGCGCCGTGATTGTGTTATAGCAATCTCCTTTGTGCCCGACTCAAACAGAACTTGATCTGTACCATCTGACTGACATGCCACCCCATCCTCTGCCTCATCACTTGAGTCATTTGCTTCCTCAGGCGAACATTGTTTGTAAGCTATGCTCTTTTGGTCTGTTTTGTCATCGTCCCTTGTCAGCATCCCTTCTGTATTTCTGGTTGGATTTGAATTATCAAAGTTCAAACTTATTTTACTTGACAAACAACCTTTTGTGTCATGCGACATCTTGTCTTCCTGTGCTTGCTTCTGGTCTTCCTTTCCTTGATTTTCCAGCTTGGCAGCTGAATCACAAGCAGTGTTTTTGGATTCAATTATATCCCTCCCACCTTTTTGGATCTCTTCATGTTCCCTCACTGTCATTTGCTCAGTGTTTGTACTGGCAGGGCAGCTTGGCATTTTTTCGCCATCTTTTGGACCATCCAAATCTTGTGGGATAATCTCTTTTACTCTTGGAGTACCCTCTTCATTTCTTGCACTGTCAAGGTTAGAAGTCAACCTAAGAGCATCACTCGAACTTCTCTCTTCAATCAAGCTCCTCTCTCCTTCAAAAGACCTCGTCTCACCAATAGTACAAGCCTGCAAAAGAACAAGTATATGTAAGACTCATCGCCAAATCTGACCTCATGAATAATTTGATTGAGTGAACTTAAAACATAGACCCATTAGGACATAAATGGGGGGGGGTTCTTTAAGTGGTAGTGATTTTGTTTTGGTATTGCCTTTTCAAAATCCTTTGCACATTTTTCAGTTTAATGCATCAGCACCTTGGCAATGCCCCATCAAGATCCAGGTTCATTCAAACAGGAGTCAATGTGATGGCCACACATCAATTTTTAGCCCAACATTTGTATCAAAACCCCTGACACCTCTCAAATCTCCAGTACAAAAACCACATGTGACCCATTCAAGAATAGTTAATGGCTTTATTGGATCAAGCAGCGTTTTGACATTGTAATTGTCTAACCAAGTATATGTAGTCATGGGGTGTTGGATGAAATGCTACATGGAAAGAACAGAATATGAACTAGACCTACATTCATGGCTTGCAATCAAAACAAATAATTATGTTACGTTTGATGGCATATACAAAATATTGTGAGCTAAGCATAGCTGTGTTTTTACAGTAAAATCTGGTGGTGGAAACTGGTGATTTAAAACAACATGTCTTCAATGTGGCCAAAAAAACCATAACAGCGACCACGACCAGGCCAGGCACAGATGGCAAAATATGGGAACACTTTAATGGTGTTCAGCCATTCACATAACATTAAGTTTTCCATTTAGATATCACCTACACCTATAAAAGTTTTGATGGTTTGATAAAAGAAAAAGATCCTGAATACACAATAGTTACTGTTGCTTGGTGGCTGCACATGTTGTGCTATGATCATGATGATGATACATGTTCTGAAAGCATATACAGTATGTACCTGCTTCAAAGGGTTGTGCAGCTTGTCCGGTTCCTTCATATGTTCAGTGTCTTCTTCCACTGACTTGTTCACTGCAAGGAAATAAGACACCACCGTCTCTAATGTGTACACATTATGATGAATATATAATAATGAATTAATAATATTAAATCCAAATTACCAATGTACAATACACATTAAAAAGCCATTTTCAAATCATGTATGGTTGATACAATAAACTATCTTAACTTAAAACAGTTAACAGAAGTGAGTAATTAGGGAAAAGAGCATTTTTTTGTGTATTCCAGCCAACAACAGAGAGAACAACTAAGATCTCATAACACATGTCAGTTGAGAATTTTGTTAGCTTTTTTTACATATTCTGACCACAAAGAACAATACAGTACGGTTAAAAGTAAATAACATAGCCCTTTCATTTTCAATATATTATAGGTATTATTTAACTTTAAAACCTACTGATTACCACACAGTGATTCCTGCTTAATAAAATACAAAGTTATAATCCAACACAAAATATTTACACTATTACATTATCACTTAAATATAATTTTGTTTACAGAAAAAACATTAAAGCATTTGAAGCTATGCTTACCTGGGTTTGTTGCAGAAGCAAAGGTGCTTTGGAGTTGTGAAAACATCTTGATTGAATTATTAGTAGACACGTGACAGGAAAGTCTGTAGATTGAGATCTTGCGGAGACAGATTCCTTGGTGCACTAAACTACATCGTTTTCCATCTATAAGCGCTATATGGGATATTTGTTAAGATCCTTCACATCCTAAGAATGTGATGGAATGGAGTCCTCTCAGCTACATCATGTAAACCTAGTGAGACATTTCCTGAATGTTTACTGTTTAGCAATTCCCATTCCTGGAAATATTATAGTGTAACTTGAAAATGTCTTAACATATCGAGTCAAATCACAAACATGATAGTATTTGAGACAGAAATTCTGTCTAGATGCACTTGCGGTGTATCATAACAAAAAACACCTTGAAATGTGTAAGACGTTTTTAGATTTCGCTTAGAACAGCTAAAATATTTCTTGTGTGAAGACTTTCGACAAGGGACGAAAAACAATTCTTCGACCACCGTTATTATGTCAAACGCTTTTCAAATATTTCCAACCACTTCCCCAAACTAAAGTGCAATTTTAACGCAACATCAGCTTATGTTTTGGTAATGCAGAGGACCTTTCCCGGCAAGTACGCAACCATATTAGTACCCTTTGTGACAGATGCAGCACTGTGTTATACTGGTCATCCACGAAACTCACACTTTGTTTATACCTGACTGCACAAACACTCCCACACATGCACACCGGGGACAACCAAGGGTGCGAGCATTAACATTTGTAAAATGTGCTTTTGACTTGAAATTGAAGGCTCAAAAGTCTGAACACATATGTAAATTAAAAATAGGAGACAGCTGATGAAAATAAGATGGTTTGGGTGATATATATAAATATTATAAATTTTACTAAGACAGAACATTTTGAAGGGCGTAGAACACATACCTCTTGGTCCAGATTGTAGTCTTCTTTGGAATTAAGTGCCAATTTTACAGCCATGTAATCTCCACTTTTAACAGCATCCCGCAACTCACCTGACAGGACAAAGGTAGAATTAAAGTTTAGAAAAAGTATACGTTATAGATCTTACAATTAAACATCCATCAGAGAACACTTTACACAAACTATAATACCAACTTAAAAATAAAAATACTAAATACAGAAACATCTTATTTAAGAGTATAGGCCTAGTCTGGACAATTAATTGAGCTCAGTGTTATTTCAGGCAGGCCACAAAATCAAGCTTGGCTCACAATTCCAGCTACATCAGCTGATGGCTTAGCTGATTTCCTTCAAGCATCATTGTCATTCAGGACACCTTATTTAAGCTGCTTTAGCCTGTCTACCCTTGTTGCTTCCTCTGCAAGCCGCTTTGCAACCCTCCTCCAACCCAGCTCCTTCTTTTATGTTGTATCTGAATTAATCATTGTCATTTCTGTTGCTGCGGCTCTCCTTGTCGTTACTTTTCCATGTATGCATATGGAAGGGCATGCACGTCCCAGAATAGAGCCATACCGCCAAATATAACATTCTGCATTTGGAAATAAAGTTTTCTTTTGACAAAAGTGGTCCTGACTGAAATGACATTAACCACTCAGGAAAAATAGATGTTAACTGAATGGCAGCCAGCTGATAGCTAGAGGGCTTCTCAGTGGGACAACAATTCTCAAGTGCAGAGACTGTAGGTATTGTATACCAGCATTTCCCATTAATTGCCTAATTTATCCATTCATAATGAATATTTTTACACTTCTCTTTAACAGTGTGTTTCTTGACACTTTAGCAAATAATTTCTCAGTTCCAGTACAAGTTTCTGCGATCGATTAGTGGACAATCTCCCCTCACTTTGCTCCTCTTGTACAGTCTAGTGACAATCACAGATGCTCGGAAGAGAAACACACAGAGAAACTACAGGGAGGGTCTCATCACTTGCTGCCTGTCTCGTGTGTGACACACAACTTAAACAGAATTTAAGCTAAAATTAAAATACAAAGCTTATTTATTTTTTTGGAGAGAGCGTGAGTGATTTAAGTGGAATGGAGTGAAATATGAGTGGAGCGCAGAGCGATTTTGAGAGGAGCAGACCAGAACAGCTTTGAAGGGGGGAATGGAGGAAACAAACCACTCTGTAAGCGAGGAGTGGAAATTCTCACCACTCCACTCTGCTCACATGCTCTGGTCAGCCAACTATGTTAGATGTAAATGCAATACTCACTGGGTGATAACGGTGGACCTGACAAGATCTCATCCTCCCCATTCAGATGTTTCTGGAAGTCATCAAGAGTCATCCAGTCCAGGTTGAGATCCATTCCTAGACTCAAAGTGGCTTGGCCCTTTTCTGTACAACACACAATGCAGAGAGGGATATTTCATTAGTTGGCAGGCTGAAACCTTGCATACTGAAATTTAAATGACCTCTTATTCATCCTGTAAACCTTGCTTACATTTATTTATTTATTTATTATTAAATTTTTTTTTGTGGCCTTTTTATTGCCTTTATTTGATAGGGACAGCCGAAGATAGACAGGAAAGGGGGGTAGAGAGAGTGGGGATGACACGCAGCCAAGGGCTGCAGGTCGGATTTGAACCCTGGGCTGCAGCAAGGACTCAGCCTCAGTACATGGGTCGCCAGCTCTACCGACTGAGCTACATTTATACATCAAACCTCAGTGAGTGTCTGTTGTTGAAAAATCAACTAAATTGACAACTGTGCAGATGCAAATGTATAATTGAACATGAAAGAACAATCTGGAAGCAGCAAAGATACCATGTACTCAGTGGCCAATCATAAACATACCAGATTTGTCAGCGCCCTCTGGTGGGTCCTGGGTCTCCTGATTGTCATCACATGCCATGAAGAGTCTGGGCTCACTCTCCTCTCTCCTCTTCCTCCTGTCATCTGTTGGGGTTCTCCTCTCCCAGCTGGGCCGCTGTGTCTCCTCGGGCCTCTCTCTTCGCTCCCGGGGTTCCTCTCCAGGCCTTTGCTTTGCTGCAGATTCCTCTCCTTCCTTCTCATCACTATCCAGGTTGAAGCCATAACTCTGGCCAGGCCTTGAGACTAGAGGAGGAGCAGACGAATAGTCTTATTTCTTGAGAGATAAAGAGCCTTGACTGCATTTAATGCTCACAGCTGTCAAGTGGTGACATCACTCAAAAAAAAATCTTTGCTATGAATTTACGGGTGTACACAAACTGTATACCATGGGTTCAGCTAACAAAACCATTTAAAAGAGCAAGCTACAGACATCCAAAAAAAACTCTGGTGCTAGACCAAAAAGCGAATTATCAAGGCAGAAAAAGAGCAGAATCCACAAGTTGTTTCTTTGCTTCCTAAATTAACGATCATAGCTATTTTTTTATTAGATATGTACAATAATGTGATGCTTGTGGAAACATGACTGATTGAGATGGGTAACTGTGTGGATTCTACCATTGTTGCTCTGACTAACAAAATATCAAACCAAGGGCCACCAACAACCATTTCTCCAGTTGACTTGTTCTTGAGTAACCCCTTTTGCTGCCTCACTGCATGGATGTGTGGTAACACATGCACATGCTGAAGTGCTAACAGCAAGTTTAGAGCTACAATGGTTGACCACACACACACACACACACACACACACACACACACACACACACACACACACACACACACACACACACACACACACACACACACACACACACACACGAGGAAAAGACAGATGCTAATACTGCTAATGCTAACAGTACTAATACTTAACACACAACAGAAAAAGAGACTAAAAGTATCAGAAACATGATTACTTAAATGTTGAGAAGAGTATCCTTTCCTTAAGTGTGTTCTCCTCAAAAGAGGCAATCCATTCAACATCAGAGCCTCTGTTGCCCCAAAACCCATCTAGGGCATACCATAGATCATTGAAAACTCTTTAATTTTGGTAAATGAAAAACTTGTTTCACATGTAAACAAATTGTAGATGCCAGTTTCCACGTACTAAGTACTGCACAGAGTGCTGAAGAGGCTGTATTAAGGTTTGTTTTCACTCAGAATTAGGTTGTCTTTCAAATTAAGAACATCCATAACAAAGTGTTTTACACATGTGAGTTTGTGCCTGTGTGTCTTGCATACCATCTGATTGCTTGGTCTTCTCCGTCTTCTTGGGCTCTGGTTTCTGAACTGGAGAATCTTTGCTTGTCTTGGGGATCTTCTCAATCTTTCCTAATAGCTATTATTGTAAAGGAAACACAATGTTAACACCTTGTAGTTGTCCTGCCACGGAGTCTGGCTTATTCTGAAAAAAATAAGCACGTCATCAATGTGTTCATGTCCTGACTTACAACTTCCCACCAAATTAGTTGAAATGGAAATAAAGTATTGACTCTTAAAATAATCAGTTCCCTCTTTTCTATTTGACAACCAAAAGCAATTATGAAATTGCAGAAACATCCAACAATATTCTGTTATGCTTGCAGGTATCTCTGGTGCTATGACACAACTGCCTTCAAATAGTTCTTCAGCCAATACACACGTCATTGCCTGTTTTCTCTCTGCAGTAAGTTCCTCTGAGCTTTTGGCTTTTTTTTATATTCAATGTTATATTATGTCTTTTTTATTTTACTGTAAACTAAACTACGGATGCACACTAATATGGACCTTTTGAAGCACATCGGGTATCTGTCAAACATCACCTCCAGTCATATCCAGTTTTCTCCTACTTATTTACATCCATTTACAGCGGTATGCTTACATGCATTCAGTTACCACTCACACAGTTTCTGCATCTGCTTTACAATAAATTAATTTAATCTGAAGGTAGCTGTAGGACTTTTTTGCAGTTCACTAACATTACTCCATATAGTTTTCAAATAGTAGATTTAGCCATTTTCTGGCTAAATCAGACCCTCTGGAGGTCTATAAACTTTTACATTGACAGAATATGTATTATTACATGTTTAACAAAGCTTTATAAAAAGGCCCATGAAAAATAGGACTGATGTTACATCTTATGAACAGGAAACCTTTAGCGACTGATGATAAAAACCCTGCGGAGGAGCTACATCGTTTAGCAGGTTGGTTTTGGTCTGGGGGAAAAATGGAGTATAGGTGAAGTGGTTTGCTGAAGAGATGTAGAGGCATGTAATTACGCTGAGAGAAGCCTTTTCTGTTTGGACACACAAAAGGACAGTCGTGCAGTATCTTTGATCAAGGTTTAACCCTTTGATGCACACACGTACATTTCTGTTTTGGACTTTTAATTTCCAGCCTATTTTATCCTTTTTTCATGCATATTGTTGATGATTTATGAAAGGTTGTGCATTTTTGAGTGTTCTCAATTTTTTTCATGCATCTTTAATTTTTAGCCTATTGTAAACAACGTGGCCTGAAATAGACCTGTTAATGGCCCTACGCACAAAAATGTGCATATTGATACCCATTCATTTTCATTCCATTTCCATTTAATGCAAACGTTCAAAGCACCACGACATTTTTTATTATAAAATACACACACATCTACACAGGGGGCCCTGAATAGCTTTGAAATTAACAAAACGCAACCCCTGAAGTGTTCTGTATGCCATTGTTATGTTATGTTATTATTGTTGTTGTTATTCAGATTATGTTCTTGCTGTTTTATGTTTTATGTTGTTACACTACTCACAAAAAGTAGAGGAACTTTGACATTCTGGTGAAATTTATGGAAAATGTAAAAAGTTCATGCTACAGTGATATTATATCATGAAAGTAGGGCATTTAAGTAAGCATGGAATGGTAATTTCTTCATCTCAAACAATTTATTGAAACAAAAGCTAAAAACAGTGGTGGGTATACCCCAACAAAAAATGGCAATGTCTCAGTAACTTGTGACGTGTCCTTGAGCATCAATTACAGCTTGGCAACGATGTCTCATGCTGTTCACAAGTCGACTTATTGTCTGCTGAGGCATGGCATTCCACTCTTCTTGAAAGGCTGGTATGGTCATCGAGGTTCTAGGGTGCGGGGCGACAACCCTCTACACCAAGACTCAGCTAATCCCATAGGATTTCAATGGGATTCAGGTCTGGAGAAAGTGCAGGCCACTCCATTTGAGGCCTCCGGCAGCCCTTCCCTGATGATGCGACCTCAATCAGCTGGGGCACTGTCATCCATGCAGATGGAGACGGGGTTGTTCGGACAGGCCTGCCCCCACTGCAAAAAAAATCCTAGAGGAAACACTGACCCTTGCAGGTCGTCCAGCACGCAGACCATGCTGATGAAAGCGGTTTCGAATGGTCTGACGTGACACTCGGGTGCCTCTCACTTCCCTTAAACATGGCTGGAGTTGAGTGGCATTCACCATCCGGTTTCCGCAGGGCACTGTTCACAATGTGGCATCATCAGCATGGGATGTTGCCAAAGGACGTCCACTTCTATGCTTTTCTGTGACTCTTCCATTCTCTCGGTGTCTCTGTTGCAACCTGCTGATGACACTCTGTGACACTCTAAGCTCAGTGGCAACTTCCCTCTGAGTTCATCCTGTCTTAAGCCTCGCGATGGCCAGGTACTGTTGATCGATTGTTAGGTGTTGTCTTGGTCTCATGATGTCAAAATGTGAACAGCATGATGAAGAGGACTGTTTAAATAAAAATCGTCATTGAACCAGAACATTTAGTGGTTGAGTCATGCATCAGACACTTGTTGTGATTTTTGCGGTTAATCAACTCAAAGTACTGAAACACTGAACAGTTGGACATGTGCATTCAAAAGTTTAGAGAAGGTCAAATTAAGTTCACCTGTAAAGGTTATAGTGCATTTTAGGTGCATTCTGAAATTTCATCCGGAAGCCAAATATCCCTAACTTTTTGTGAGTAGTGTATAATAAATAAGTAGAAATGTTACTTGGGCAATAGGTGAGGTTCTTTGTTACAGCAAAAAAAAAATAATGGTATCTATGATTAGAGCAGGTTTAAAAAATAAAATTAAAAGAAAGTAGAAAATCATATAATATTTAGAATATTGTACAGCTTGATTTTAAAGAGCATATTTTTGTGCAAAAGGTGCTTAACGTGTATTGAGCAAAAAATAACGCATATAAATAAATGTTGCTGCTAATCTTTCACATATACCAGGCTGCAAAAATCAAACCATAAATAATCCAGTTTGCATGAACTTTATTAAAAATAAATAATTGATTGTGTTTTTTTAGACCATAAAATGGAGTTGCATCATGACAAAACCTTGGCAATTTAAGGGGTACATTTTAAAAATGTATTAATATTTGATATGTACGATTAGGACTAATGCTGGTTTAAAACATAAAAAATAAAATAAAATCCTTTATTGCTTGATTTTTTTTTATGAGCACATTTTTGTGCGAAGGGACATTAACGCAACAATTTTGAAGGTGCATCACAGGGTAACGCAGCATCCCAGTGTTGTCTCTAAGCTCTGCATTGGTACAAAACACCAATACTCCTAAATACTGCACTACGTGTATTAAACAGTGTGTATGTTGTTATGAGGTTGGTCCATTGTAATGTTTTATACATTTTTTCAACAAGATTAAACTCTCATACACATAAAAAGCCCTTTTTTGTATGAACATCTCCACTTGTTTGTTTATTTAGACCCACATTAGCTACTGCATTGTAACTGTAGTTATTCTTCCTGTGGTTAAAAAGTGATGTGTAGCCCCGTTACCTTCCAGAAATATTAACCACAAAAAGTATCCAGATTTTTTTACTTTGCATAGACTTAGACCCTGAATTTGGGTATCAGGACTGTAGCAGAGGAAAACAGTGCATCCCTACAAAAGCATTTGCCCATTCTGTTGTCTATGCACACCTGGCTGAGATCCACCCAGGCAAACCAAAGACACAATTTGGAAATTCTGGCAAGTTTAAATTAACATGTATTCATTTTCAACTCCAACATTTTATGTCATATGATGTAAAACAATGGGAAAACATACATAGCTCTAATACTGTACCTTTGGGGGTTTGCTGCTGGTCTTTTCTGGTGTGGGCTGATGCACTGGCTGCCTGCGGGGGGCGCGGTCCTTGGCCTCGCAGGTTAACAGGAACTTCTCAAATAGGTTAGTGGAGCCTGTGGCATCCTTCGGTCCCAATACCTCCTCTTTAGCAGCTACCTCATCCTCCTTGCCTTTGGTGCTGCTGGCTGCTGTGACAGAGGATGAGGATGATGATGAGGATGTGGAGGAAGATGGGACTTTGGGTGGTGGCGGCGGCGTGCTGTCCTGCCCTTTGCTCTTGGCTTTCTTATGTAGGGTGGAGCTATCACTGGAGTCTGAGTGTGGGGCAGCCTCCTCCTTGCTTTTAGAGGTGAGGCTCTTTAGTTTTTGGAGGCTGCTTTCTTTCTGAGTGGCATCTGGCTTTCTGTTCTTTTTGTCATGGATGAGGTCCTTAATGCCCTGCAGCTTTACTTCCCACTTTCCCATCTTTTGTTTGGACTTGTCGTCCAAACGTGGCTTTTCGGCTGACTTTACTGTGGTATCCGTTGATGCACTATCGTCCATTTGGGACTCTGATGGGCCGTCGCTCAGGTCATCTTCTAGAGGTGCAGCAGCTTCGTCTTCAGAGGTTTCAACTTTCCTTTCTTTCTTTCCTTTCTTTTTCTTTCCCTCCTCTACCTTTTCTTTCTTTTGCTTTACTCCCTCCTTTCCCTTTTCCTTCTTGTGTTTTTTGGAGGGAACTGGCTCCTCCTCCTCCTCTTCAGAGTCAACCAGCCGCTTTTTTGTTTCAGTCTTTTTCTCCTTGGGAGGAGAGGGTGGTGTTGGGGCTCTCTCCTCTTCTTCTTCTTCTTCTTCTTCTTCCTCCTCCTCTTCATCTGTCTCTGGTGCCGGTAGAGGCCTGAACTCCTCCTTCCGTTTGTCTTTCTTCTTCTTCTTCTTTTTCTCCTTTGGAGGTGGTTCCTCATCTACTTCCCGGACCTTGGTCTTTTTCTTCTTCTTAATCGGTGCCTCAGTTGGACGGTCTTTGTCAGTTTCACTTTCTGAGTCGGCATCAAACACGTCGCTCTTCGTAGGCAGCAGTTTCTAAGAGGAGAATGAACAAACAATGTCACATTTTTAAACATTATATATATTGTATTTTTGGCTTTGTGGTAAAGGTTCTCTGTGGCATTGTAGACCTCTAGTAGCACTATGAAGCTGTGAAGCTGAGTGGCTCAGAGGCTTTATCACATGCTCACACATGGGAATGCACATGGATAACACTATACACAGTGAGATCCGATCACAAATGGTCACTCGAGACGCTTTCTAATGGCAGCTATGAACTGACGTACTGAGAGCTGTCCACTTGTGATCGGATGACCCAAGACGCATGTTAATGCCAAGTGTAAACAGGGAGTGTGACTTACCACGCTCTTCTTGGCTTCTGCCTCTTTCTTGGCCTTAGCTTCAGCCATGGCCTTCTTAAAGGCTAAGAGGACCTCACGACAGTCCTCCAAATGGGCCTCTGGCTCCCAAGTATCATCATCAGAGCAGTAATTCTTCCAGCGGACTCTGTAGAGCACTTCACCCTAAGAACAGATAGAGATAGATATTATGCTCAAGCATTACTCCACACCAACCTGACATGTTGACTGGTAGCTGTCAGAAATTAACTGCTGACTCCAGCCAACATGGATACATATAGTATTCTGCATGCTGGACATTTTTCTTTGATTCACTGGTTGTATTCATAATAGATGATACATTGCACAAGACAACAAGGGGGAGAAACAAACAATACTTTCTCATTTTCAGTCATTTCTCATTGCAGATGTACATATTTACCAACTTGGACCAATTTGTAAGCATTTATATGAAGGAACACAAATAGGATAGGCTAAGAAAATATTGTATTGTCAGGTCCAGAGTTTCTGTTACGATGCACAATGCAAAACTTTTGCACTACAGTTTTGATTTGCCACCAGAACTTAATTTTGTTATGTTTAAGAATTTGTTAACTGATGCTGCTTTAAGAAAGAGTTTTTTGTTTAGGACAAATGCTGCAGTGAAGACAGCTCTGCGGCTGGAGATCATTAATTTCCCACTGTGAATGTGTTTCAGTATTAAAATATCTCACTGTTCAGCTATGGAAACAGACTCATTGACCAGTTCTAGTTTTGACATGAAGATTAATACAATCTTGTTCAGCTGTACACAACATTGCACAACTTTGCCAAATTGCTAGCCCAACAATACTTTAATTATTCAGGTGTCTTTGTCATGCTAATGCACATACTTAACATATTAACAATGTTTCTCCAACATGAATTCACTTAGGTTAACTCAGTTTTTCGGAATCATTTGAGCTCATAAATCAACTTGAGAGTTTTGAGGAAAAAAATCTGTTTTCTTAACTCGATGTAAACACACACAGTGAATGTGAAGAATCCTTCAAACCGTATAGAAAGCCCTGGCACTCAAGGAAAAAAAAAACCAAACACCACCCTCCAACCCATCTCCACTCATAAACACGAAAGCACTCCCCCCATAATCCCTCAAGTGAGGGGGTAGTTAATATTAAAGTGGGAAAATGTGGCACCAACCCGGGACAATGCATGATTTTGTAAACACAATATGAGAAGAAATAATGGGAGGGGGACTACTGCAAAAGAAATGGAAATTAACTGTAATTACCCACAATGAAGAACAGAGCAAACATATCGTCCAATGTCTGATTTCATTCTGGTTATTAATATGATGATATTGTTTCAATATATATAATACAGAGGTGTTAAATCAGAAACCACCTTGAACAACACAAATATTTTATTCTTAATAAATACAATAGGACTACAAAAGCGAACACACACACACTTAAAACCGGAGTCAAGTTCCTTTAATGTAAACACATACTTGGCTAATGAAGCAGATTCTTTGTTTTGTTCAGCACTACAATGTAATCAATGTGTCACACTGATATTTGAATGTAAGATACAGTGCTCACGTTTGGGGAGTACTGATTAGGTTAAATTGTAAAATTACTGTTTGTTTGTCTTTTTGTAGTTTTTTTTAACGTTTAGGAAAAGTTCCTCAGCTGGATGTACAAAGCTATCAAACACTGGTGTAGCGGATGATTACCACCAGGTGGGTCAACAGAGAGATTGTGTACAAACCTGAACTCAACTGACACATTCAGCAGTTACAAGCCCGTTACTATGTTCTTACAAAGACACAACACACAACCTAAAATACTCTAAGTGAGATACAACTGTTGTTAATGATTATCCACTGTGGGATTTATGTTCACGCAGAAAGGTAAAATAATAAAATACAACCACAGGTTCGGTTAATTCCGCTTCATACACAGCAGCCACTATAGTAACGTTACTAAGGTAATGTGTCAGCGGTGAGTAACGTTGAGTGGTATTGTTTGCCCACAGGACCCTTCACCATCCAATCTGTTTATGCTCACTGTGACTAACATTATTCCGGGGATTGGTTTGATCTAGCTATGCCGCTGTTCAAGAGAACCCATGATAAAAAATAAAAAAAATATGTGCAAGCTTGCAAAGCGTCTGTCCTTGGCCCCAGCAGGGGAGAAGGGAGCGGACATCATGGGAGACGTACGGAGAGACGATGCAATGTTTGGACGAGCAGTGTACCGCGACGAAAAGAGTAACTTACGATTAGCATACGATTAGTTGAGTAACGCAAGAGCAATTCAATGCATGCCAATGCGATCCCAATGCATTGTTTGTTCTGTGTGCAATGTGTCCGGACACCGTTGTAGGTGGACTATGCGTCGTGAGAGTGGAAGTGAAGGCAATGCCACCATGTTTGTCCAGCTAGCCAGGCGGCTACGTTGCATTAAGCTAGCTTTACCTCTTCCACTCGCATGTCAATGATCCTCTCCACTTCGTAGACGTCTTCCTCCTCATCCCCACTGTCCGCAGGCTCTACCTTGTCAGCCTCGGCCGCCATGGCTGCGGGTTGGTGCAGAGTCGAGCTATTTTGATTCAGCACTCGTAGAGGCCGCGTTAGCTTTCCGTTAGCTTTCCGTTAGCTTTCCGTTAGCTTTCCGTTAGCTGTGTTCACCAGGGCAGGACGCTAACGTTACTGCACGAGCTCTGCGGCTCAGAGGCTTTATGGAGCGCGCTCCAGCTACCGCCCGCTCTCACAGCGCCGCATTCAAATGCGACTCCTACACTCCCACTCTGCTATTTCTACATCACTTTCACGACGTTCAGCTATTTCAAATGGTTTTTGGTCAACGCTTGTAAGCAGCAACACTAACTTCTGCTTGGTGATATGCAGGATTAATCACTTAACTGAGAGAATGCAGAAATAGTAATGCTAATGTTTGATAGACAGAAAAAGCCGGTGATTGTTACAACCGCCTGTCTGACAGGCGCTTCAATACTTTAAGTTTCCCCTGAAGACACAGCTTGACTACAAGGATTGCAGGACCATGTATAATAAATATAAAAATAAAAATAAAAAACCCGATTCCATTATTAGTCTGTAATTATTATAGACGTTGTATCCAAACTTCCGATGTTTCTTAAACGCAACATGGACATTAATTTTTGCAGAGTGATGAAAACATGGACGACTGCTCAAGGTGGGCTATTGGAGCAAGTTAAGGATATATCTGATAGAAAACAATGGAACGCATTTATCATGCGTTTTCATTTTCCACATAGTTATCTTTAAATGTAAATAGGCTACAAACAATTTGTGGCCAGGAATTTATTCTGAATAACTTACCTTGTAGCATATGAAAATGTGTCTTCACTCTTCTGTCTCCAAAATATATTTCAAATAGATAGTGTCTTAATATTCAAATATCAGGAAATTGACATTGTTGTGACTAGTTCACTAGTACATCTTAATTTCCTATCATTTGGAATTGACAAATAATTTCCACTTACTGTGCAAAGCAATTTATACAGCAAGCAGTCCCATTAACTTCCATTACACATTTATTTAAACATATCACACACACACATACAACAATAACCAATAATTAAAGGCATTTGAAAACCGCTTTAAAAAGGGAAAATAAACTTCATTAATGGAAACAAATAGAGGGAAATATTTGCTTCACTCCAATAATGAGTCAACTACTTAAAATTCAAATAACTGACAGAGAAAATGAACATAAACAGCAAACAGCTTCGTGTGCCTTTTAAAACCAAATAAAATGAGAAACTGATGGTCATCAAGTAACCAATTTTGCATTGAAGCAACAAATCAAGGCAAAAGCAGCATCTGTAAAGTGATCTATAACTGAAATACTGTTAAAACAAATCAGTTTAAAGCAGCATGTATCTGAGTGAATAGAGCGAATAACAACCCTGAAAACTTGAAATATAATGTTAAGGCACATTAAGTCCAATAACATTTTGTAAAGCAGTTAGGATGCAGACGCTGTACTGGGATAAGCTAAGAGATGACAGGCCCAAAAAGAAGTGATTACATCGACGAAAATGAGCTCTCTAGTATCTTTTGGTTATTTATTACCTTAGTCTTATTAGGTTATTTAAAGATTTTCCAGACTGAGTTTTGAGTAAGTGTATGAATAGCTGTCTAGTGTTGTAGCTGTGGGTTTGACAGCGTGGCACAGCATCCTCAGTTCTCTCCCATCTCAGACACCAAAAATGATTCTGAGATCAGCCAGAGAGAGTTTGGAGAAGGTGCTTCCCGTTCCTGACAGCACATTCTGGGCCAGCTCCTTCTTCTTCGCCTGCAGTGTGGAAATCTTCTCCTCCACTGTGCCTTCACACTCAAACCTGGACACAAACACAAAACTATTAACACACAAACCATTTCACTCAAACAAACCTAATGAAAAAGTTTCCCATGGAAAATGGAGCTGTAGCTTTGTTGTTTCACTCCCACCCACATGACAGAAACATTTTAATTTGATCTCTGTTTTGGGCAACTTTAACTGTATTTAACTTATTAAGCTTTCCTTAGTTGGTACTTCTCAATACGGTCCTTTTAAAACAATGTCATATGATGTAATGGTAAATAATAGACACACAAATCAAACGTCCTGCTGATTGGTTACCTGTGGATGGTGACATCTTTAGTTTGTCCAACTCTGTAGATTCTGTCACAGGCCTGATCCTCCAAGGCTGGGTTCCTGTCAGAGTATACAGGGGTCAGAGTTTAAAAAGTCATTCTTATACTGAACATATTAAAGATTTTCTCACTTTATTAGTAGCACTGATCTGTAAGTGACTAGCCACTGCAAAACAGCACCAAATGGTACAACTGATGTGTGTGTGTGTTTGTTTGGGAGAGAGCTCTATTTCAATTCTTAAAGAAGAGTATTTTACCATACTTAAGTGTAAGGTTCAGTGTGTTACATTTAGGAGGATCCTTTGGCAGAAATGGAATATAATATTCATAGATATGTTTTCAGCCATGTATAATCACCCTAGAATGACCAACCAAACATTGGCTCAAGATAGGACCTTTCCCATCTTTCACGGCAACCTATCCACTTGTAAGGCCAGCAGTATTCAGTTGGTTGCAATCCCGGCTAGATCACACTAAATCCTATTCACTGGTCCTTTAATGAGGTCATAATGTCTTTAAATGTGAATTATTTGCTTGTAAAATGTTCTGTGTGAATAACAGTTGCAACTGAAGCTCCAAAAGAGGTTGAAGAGAAAGTGTCAGTTCAAGTGTCACCTCTGAAAGGAGCTCAAATTTGAATTGAACGGAAAGCTCTAAAAAGGGTCCGCTGATGACAATGAACATTACAGTTGAGGGTGAAATAAAAAGCAATAGCAAGAGTTAAAGGTATAGGCTAACATAATAAAATAAAAGGAATAAAAACAAAAATAATTCAGACAAAACACACACTGTGTATATGACATCAAGCAGAGGGAAGCAAACACCAGCAATTATAGTCTTTTGTTTTGTGTCTCACCAGTGCATGTCCATGAGGAAGAGGTGATTACCACCGATGAGATTAAGTCCAACTCCTCCAGCACAAAGAGAAACCAGCATCACCTTTGGCAGAAAACCAGAAATATATATAAATATATACTTACTCACAATATGTTTAATGTTACACTGGTCCAGCATATTTTTACATTTCTTTTCACCATATACACATCGTAAAAACGAAACAAAAAGCGTAAAAAGGTAGTTGTCAAATGATGCTATGAATATTAATGGCAGCAAAATAAAATATTAAGTTTGTGTGGGGTTTCATACCTGTATTAAAATACTTGCCAATTAATTTAAAAGTAGTAATATATTCTAGTGATGTGTTTTGTTTTTAAGGTCAAGAGGTTTGAGTGAGATTTACCTGTGGTCCTTTAGGGTTAATGTTGAATTCTTCCACCAGGTCCATGCGACGTTTGGGGTTGACCGTCCCGTCAATAACGCCATAACTCAGGCCCATCTGCCGCAGATGAACTGCTACAATGTGCAGCATGCTGGTCCACTGGGACACGATCACGCTACACATTACCAGAGAGGAGATACAATGTGGATTACACACATGATGGTAACATTTAAACTGTTCTCTTGTGTCAGTTGCAGTCACCACTTACAGATTAACAGATGTTAGTAGTTTGCAGGTCAATGAATGTACAGTACAGATCATATATGTGTGTGTGAGGAAGGTAAATATTTATGACTTCCTCAGCAGATGGTCCTAAAAGTGCTCAGAGAAATTGAAATCTGAACATCAACATTTCCAAGAAACTTGGTTAACTCCATCTGCTGAGGAAGATTGTGTGACACAGTTGAGAACTTCAGAACAGCTTCTGAAGGGACCTTGTGGGAGACTGATTTGCCAACTAGATTACGAAATGTATCTGGCAGATGCTTTCGTGTGTCAAAAGAAAGTGTTGATTGTTTGCTGCAAGAATAAAAAATGAGTCAAACTGAAGCAGATTATTGTATAACTGGATGCAAAACAGTTTCTGAGGTGAGACTGTAATGTTTTACCTTTTCTGATCATCACTCTTTTGTCTGATTGCCTTCAGCTCAGAGACAATAGCAGAAATCTGGGAAATTAAGGTAGAAGAATTAGTTCATTTGTTGTAAAGATTTGATAAAGTAAAGGAAAGTTTGAGGATTGGCTTCACACCCTCTCCTCTTTAATGAGGGAAACATTTTCTCACCAGGTATGTTGTATATTTTCCCTGAGCTCTTGATGAAGACAGATTAGAACCTATGACTCATTAAAGTAACTAAGATATGATCAGTAATCACAGCTAAACGTGTATCCAAAAACCCTCATGTGCTGTCTGCCCTCACCAACACCAACTAGACTTAAACTGTGTCGTGGACAGAGAAAGGCTAAAACAGAGGGCATCCAATCTCTGTAAACAACCTGCAACCATACAACGATTACTCCTGAGCGCAACCTTTGCCCACCTTGGTGCTCTCACTGGTTTCCTCAAACAGCTTTGAAGGGAAGCGGGTGCCATTAAGGGCCACAGTGTCTTTGGGGTCAGGGCCCGATGGCGAGGGGCTGGAGGAGAGCGACAGAGCATTGAGCTGCTCTTCCAGAGACAAGACGATCCCATCACCCTCCAGCTCTGATGAGTCAAGAGTCTGAGCAGGGAGGAGAAGGAAAGAAATCAATGCTTCTAGTGTATACCGTGAAGTTGGTGTTTGTGTGTATCTATGTGTGTCAGAATGTCAGACAAAACTTGCGGGTATTGTCAGAGCCCGAGTGTGTGTGAGTGTGTACCTTCTTAAGAAGTGAGATGTGACAGCAGCACTGTCGGAGGCGCAGCAGCAGAGACAGGATGTGGACGGTGCTGGATGCCTGTTGGGGCTGCTGGGAACTCGACACAATAGGGTCAGCCTGGGACATACCGAACTCTTGGGCCACTGGGGAAGAAAGACAAACACACTTTTGAGACACCAATATAGCAACACTGACTACTAACCAATTTTTTAAAATAACATTTAATTTTGAGCAGGGAGCCCACAAAGCAATTATTCAACAGAGAGCAAATTAAAGTAAAACTGAGAAACAGAGTTAAAGTCAATGCTGATAATAGCAGACATGCAAACACTTATTTATTTCATTGGGCATAAAGTGGATTTGTGATTGATCAGCTTAAATTATTCTTAGTGTGATCATTTTCCAATATCTGTGCACAAAATGTCAAATTGCACACTGAGGACTGAGGCAGTATTCATGACACACT